ATAATATTTTTCCTACAAAGTACTGTTTATAGGAAGATGTAATCATTTTTCGGCAATTCCTGAGCCGCGTGGCTTCGGGCCCCAAAAATCGTAGGTATAACCTCCTTTGGTTCTTACGAGCCTGCTTCCTGTCGGAAGCCCTGTTCCGGAGCTGATATTTTTCTGTATTCGCTTAATGGGCAACACTCCCTAATAGGCTAACGAGAGGGCATATTTTATAAGTTCTTATGGCACCCAATCGGTGGAGGCCTAAACTAGCTGTTAGATGCTTCATTTAAGGATTTGCCAAACTCAATATAAATTAATGGCAAAATCGGTGCCACTCCGGAAGCATTTTTGCAGTTTTAGCCCAATCAATCTCTCTGTCTGCATATTCATGCAATTTTGAGGCCATGAATGATTCCTCTAACACATTAGGAAGCATTTGTATCATTTTTTGGGCAATTCGAGCTGCGTTGCTTTCCAGCCCCAAATTCTAGGTATTACCCCTTTGTCTTTAGGAGCCCTGTCGATGAAAGCAACTGTTCCGAAACCCGATATCTTCTGTACGCTTGATGCGGCAACTCCTATAGGCTCAACGAGAGGCAATATTTTTAGGGTCGTATGTCCAATCGGTTATGCCTATCTAGGCTTGTTTTAGATGCTTCATTAAGGATTTGCCAAACTCAATATTAAATTAATGCGCAAAATCGGTGCCACTCAAGGAAGCATTTGCCCAGTTTTTAGCCCAATATCCTCTGTTGTAAGCTTATCACGCTATTTTTGAGGCTAAATAATTTCCTCTAACACATGTAGGAGCATTGCTTTAAGTCATTTCGGCCAATTCGCGGAGCCGGTGTTTTCAGGCCCCAAAATTTCGTAGGTAATACCCCTTGGTCTTAGGAAACATGTTGTGAAGCCCAATTTCCGGAGCCCGATATCTTCTGTACGCTTGATGGACAAACTCCATATAGGCTCAAACGAAGGCATATTTAGTGTGTTATGCCCAATCGGTATGCACTAACTAGGCTGTTAGATGCGTTCAATAAGGATTTGCCAAAGCTCAATTAATTAATGCGCAAAATCGTGTCACCTCCGGAAGCATTTGGCGTTTTAGCCCAACTATTCCTATTCTGTCTGTAGCCTTTTCATCATGCTATTTACGAGGCCATAATAATTTCCTCTAAGACATGTAGCAAGCATTGTAATCATTTTCGCGGCAATTCCGGAGGCCGTGTTTCAGGCCCCACAACGTCGTAGGGTATACCCCTTTGGTTCTTAGGAGCCCTGTGTGAAGCCCCTGTTCCGGAGCCGATCACTTCTGTACGCTTGAATGGCCAGTCCTATAGGCTCAACGAATGCAATATTTTAGGGTCTATATGGTCCAATTCGGTTAGCCTATCTAGGCTGTTAGATGCTTCATTAAGGGTTGCAAACTCAATATAAATAATGGCCAAAATCGGTTGCCACTCCGACTCCAGAAGCATTTGGCAGTTTTTGCCCAATATCTCTCTGTCTGTCGCTTATCATGCGATTTTGAGGCCATAATATTTCTTCTAACACATGTAGGAGGCATTGTAATCATTTTCGGGCAATTCTGAGATGGTGCTTTCCAGCCCCAAAATCGTAGGTATACCCCTTTGGTCTTAGGAGCCCTGTGTGAAGCACTGTTCCGGACCCGATATCTTCTGTACGCTTGACGGGCAACTCCTATAGGCTCAATGAGGCAATATTTTAGGGTCTTATGGTCCGATCGGTATGCCTATCTAGGCTGTTAGATGCTTCATTAAGGATTGCAAACTCACAAGCTCAATATAAATTAATGCCCAAAATCGGTGCCACTCCGGAAGCATTTGGCAGTTTTAGCCCAATCTGTATGCAGCTTATCATGCGATTTTTCGAGGCCAATTTAATATTTCTCTAAACACATGTAGGAAGCATTGTAATCATTCTTGGTTCAATTCCGAGCCGGTTGCTTTCAGCCCAAATCGTAGTATTGCCCTTTGGTCTTAGGAAGCCCTGTGTGAAGCACTGTTCCGCACCCGATATCTTCTATACGCTTGATGGGCAAAACTCCTATAGGCTCAACGAGGCAAAATATTTCTAGGGTCTTATGGTCCAATCGGTTATGCCTATCTAGGCCTTGTTAGATTTCATTAAGGATTGCAAAAGGATTGCAAACTCAATATAAATTAATGCGCAAAATCGGTGCCACTCCGGAAGCATTTGGCAGTTTTAGCCCAATATCCCTCTGTCTGTAGCTTATCATGCTATTTCGAGGCCATAATATTTCCTCTAAGACATGTAGCAAGCGTTGTAATCATTTTCAGGCAATTCCGAGCCGGTATTTTCGGGCTCCAAAATCATAGGTATACCCCTTTCGTCTTACGACCCCTGTGTGAAGCCCTGTTCCGGAGCCGATATCTTCTGTACGCTTGATGGGAAACTCCTATAGGCTCAACAAGGCAATATTTTAGGGTCTTATGGTCCAATCGGTATGCCTGTCTAGGCTGTTAGATGCTTCATTAAGGATTGCAAACTCAATATAAATTAATGCGGAAAATCGGTGCCACTCCGGAAGCATTCGGCAGTTTTCGGCAGTTTTTAGCCCAATATCTCCTCTGTCTGGTAAGCTTATCACGCTATTTTGAGGCCATAATATTTCCTTAGACATGTAAGAAGCATTGTGATCACTTTTTGGGCAATTCCGAGCCGGGGTGGTTTTTCAGGCCCCAAAATCGTTAGGTATACCCTTTGCGTTTAGGAGCCCCTGTGTGAAAGGCCATTTCCGGAGCTGATATCTTCTTTAACGCTGATCAGGCAACTCCTATAGGCTAAACGACGGCAATATTTTAGTGTCTTATGCCCAATCGCTATTGCCTAACTAGGCTGTTAGATGCTTCGTTAAGGATTGCAAACTCAATATAAATTAAATGCCGCAAAATCGGTTGCCACTCCGGCAAAGCATTTGCAGGTTTTAGCCAATATCTTTCTTGTCATGTAGCTTATCATGCTATTGTCGAGGCCATTATAATATTTCCTCTAAGACATGTAGCAAGTTTGTAATCATTTTTCAGGCAATTTCCGAGCTGGTGTTTTCAGCCCCAAAATCGTACGGTAATACCCCTTGGTCTTAGGAGCCCTGTGTTGAAGCCCTGTTTCCGGAAGTCGATATACTTCTGTACGCTTTGATGGCCAGCTTCCTATAGCTCAACGAGGCCAATATTTTAGGGTCTTATGGTTCCAATCGAGTATGGCCTATCTAGGCTGTTAAGATGCTTCGTTAAGGGGATTGCAAAACTCAATATAAATTAATGCGCAAAAATCGGGTGCCACTCGAAGCATTTTGCAAGTTTAGCCAAATCTTTCTGGTCTGTAGCTTATTCATGCTATTAGGCCGAGGCCATAAATATTTTCCTCTTAACACATGTAGGAAAGCATTGTAATCATTTTTGGGCAATTCCCAGCGGTGCTTTCCAGCCCCAAAATCGTAGTATACCCCTTTGCGTCTTAGAGCCTGTTGTTGAACACTGTTCGAGCCGATAACTTCTGTACGCTGATGGGCAATCCTATGGACTCAACGAGGCAATGTGGTCTTTATGGTCCAACGGTATGGCCTATCTAAAGGCTGTTAGATGCTTCAATTAAAGGATTGCAAACTCAATATTAAATTAATGCGCAAAATTCGGTGCCACTCCGGAAGCATTTGGCAGTTTTAGCCCCAATATCTCATCGTCTGTAGCTTATCACTAGCTATTATCGAGGACATATATTTCCTCTAAGACATGTAGCAAAGCATTGTAATCATTTTCGGCAATTCCGAGCCGGTTTTTCAGGCCCCAAAGTCGTAGGTATACCCCCTTTGGGTCTTAGGGAGCCCCCCCTTTGGTCTTAGGAGCCCTGTGTGAAGCCCTGTTCCGGATCCGATATCTTCTGTACGCTTGATGGGCAACTCCTATAGGCTCAACAAGGTAATATTCTAGGGTCTTATGGTCCAATTGGTATGCCTATCTAGGCTGTTAGACGCTTCATTAAGGATTGCAAACTGAATATAAATTAATGCGTAAAATCGGTGCCACTCCGAAAGGATTTGGCAGTTCTAGCCCAATATCTCTCTCTCTGTCTGTCGATTATCACGCCATTTTGAGGCATAATATTTCGTCTAAGACATGTAGGAATCATTGTAATCATTTTTGTGCAATTTTGAGCCGTTGCTTTCGGGCCCAAAATCGTAGGTATACCCCTTTGGTCTTAGGAGGCCTGTGTGAAGCCCTGTTGCGGAGTCGATATCTTCTGTACGCCTTACGCGGAGCTCCTATAGGCTC